TGCGGACTCAAGGGTCCCAGGTTTGATTTCGGTCAAGGGCATGTACCTTGGTTGCGGGCACATACCCAGTAGGGAGTGTGCAGGAGGCAGCTTATCGATGTTTCTCTCTCATCGATGTTTCTAACTCTCTATCCCTCTCCTTTCCTCTCTGTAAAAAATCAATAAAATATATTTTAAAAAAATTGATATACAACTTATATGTAATAAAATTTACCCTTTTAAGGTGGATAATTCAGCGGTTTTCAGTATATTCACAACATTGCACAGCCATCACCACTGTGTAGTTCCAGAACATTTTATCACCTCACGCTATACCCCCAGGCCCATGAGCGGTCACTGCCTATTCCCTCCTCCCACAGCTCTACAGCCACTGACTATCTTCTGTCTCTGGATTTGCCTGTTCCGGGCATTTCATGTAAATGGAATCATACAATATGTGGCCCTTAGTGTCTGGCTTCTTTCACATAAGCGTTCCGTGTTCGAGGTTGTCCGCATTGTGGCATGTCTCACTGCTTCTCTCCTTTTCATGGCTGAGTAATATTCCCTCGTGGGAAAGACCACACTTTGTTTACCCGCCTGTTGGCTAATGGGCACTGGGGTTATTCTGCCTTTGGGCTGTTGTGAGTGATGTTTTCCATTCCTCTGGGTTTGGTTTTCCCCGAAGCTCTTTGCAGTGGCCAGCTGTCTCCATGTCTCTAGCCTGGCTGTTTGGAAAGGGAGAGAAAGCAGAGCCCAGTGTGGTGGCTGGCGGGAGGCTGGTGTGGGGGGAGATGCAGATGCCGACAAGGGGAGGGCGGGCTTAAACCTGGCCCACAGCCGTCCGGTGGTAGGTGGGCATTTTCCCTGTTGATTATTAACCGACGGTTATGATCCTGAGAGGAGATCCCTGGGGCTAGAATTGGTGCTTAGTTGAGATGCCAGAAATGTTTTCAAAGACATTTAAACAGTCCTGGACCCTTGATTCTCTCTCTCTCTACAAGGAGACCGGATCACCATTTTATGAGTCATGATAACAATAAAGATGATGATTATAATAATGGTCTACATTTATAGAGGACTTTATTTTTCATTTCATAGCCATTACTTTTAATTCCTTAGACCATTGTCACCCCCATCTGCAGATGAAGGAACTGGGACACAGAGAGGTGAGGTGATTTAACCAAGGTCACACAGTGGGGTAGCAAGAAGAGCCGGACTTGAACCCAGGAATCTCTTGATTCGTAGTGTAGGGCATTTTCATAGAAATGTGTGAGGGATGATGGCTGCAAGGATCTCAAAGGGTCTGAGGCAGAGCCAACGGAGGCTGGAGGTGAGGACCCTGGATGCCTGGGTGCTGAAAGTGGGGTCCTCCCCCTGCCCCCCGGGGCCTGTCCAGTTCCCTACAAACAGCCCCATTTGGATGAATTGTCCTTTGGTTTTTCAGCTTCCCCTCCAGGCTCTTTGATCATTTCCTCCTGAGATTTGCATTTGGCTAAAGGTGGCTAGAACCTCATTTGGCTAAAGCCAGTAAGCACCTCTCCTGGCCTCCCTGAGCCCTCCCAGGATCGCCCAGGCTCTGGGGAAGGAACGCTGAGTACAGGAGCTCAGTGCCATGTGGTTCCAGGAGGGAGGCATGCTGAGTGGGCAGTGCCCTAGACCCCCTTAGGCGGGAGGAGGGCTCCTGTCCTGTCCATTCACACCTGCTCTTACCACCTGCTCTTAGCTGAGTGAATGCCCTTCCTCTCCTCCTCGGCCTTCTCTCTGCCCTCCTCCCCCCTCCTCCACTCCCATCAGCAGCCCCTCCTCCTGTGCGTCCCTGTGGGGGTCCTGGACCCCGAGTCCTTAGAGCCGCAGGTGGGCATTTGGCTGTCTTAGTTGAAGGGGCAGTTTCCAGTCTCACTGCTATGATACATGTCAAGATCACTGTGGGCTACTAGAAAGATGTTACAGAGAATAGTGAGGGTCCCACCTCTGCTAATAATTTACTCTTTACTTATAAAAATTAGATCAGATTCAAGGTCACCCCTTGATAGACCCGTGTCACTCTCACCTACTCATGTGTGACGTTTGCCTGAGAAAGGGCTGGAACTGCATCGAGCACTGTAGTTCTTATCTCAGTGCCAGCCAGTAGCCGGCCGGGCTGGCTGTCCTTGGGAGGGTGGCTGGCACTCGAATGTCATTGGTTGTGAAGGCCGGGGCAGGACAAGGTGGGGCCCAGCTGACCACAGCAGGGGTGCGAGGCTGAAGCAGGGATTCCATCCTCCTTGTTTTGGGTCCTCTAGTTACAAAGCCAAGGCTAGAGCCTGGGACTTGGGCAGTGTTTTGTTTCCTAGGGCTGCCGTAACCAAGTTGGGGGGGGGGGGGGCTTGAAATAACAGACATTTATTGTCTTCGTTCTGGGGGCTAGAAGTCCAAAGTCAAGTGTCAGCAGGGCCAGGCTCCAAGCGTCGCTCGGGAAATCCTTCTGGTGGGAGACACCCTGAGCTCCCACTTGAGAGTCCTCACCGCTCCCTGGAGGTTATTCCAGCATCCGGGGCAAACAGGCTGGCGCTGGGGAGAGGGCTCAGTCCAGGGAGGGTTTGGTACGGGGCCCTTTGTCTGGGATGCAGGGAGCATCTGCTCTGGCCTCATGGGAGTGGACATCTTGTGCCTTATGGAGGGAACCATGTACACGAGAGTCCCTGGGCCACTGGTGTAAAAACCTGCCAGTATTGCCCTCCCCTAGAGCGTGTGTTTTTGGAGAGCCAGGGCAGCTATTGGTCAGGTTGGCCCACAAGCCATCTCCAGGGGAGCAGGCCAGAGGTCCTCAGCTAACCCCCAGCTGTCCTCTAGTCTCTGGGTGGAGCGGGGGCTTGCCTCCCCTCCCCTCCCTGCATGCTTTTTCCTACCAGGCTCCCAGCCCCCAAGGGGAGCTGCCTTCCTCTGTCCTCACCTCAGGGGACCTGAGGGTGGTGCTCCTCATCCTTGATCATTCTTCCTCCCTTCCCTTTCCCCACCATGGCTCTCAGGGGTGCAGCCCATAGAGGAGGGACCGTGGCTGCTTGGGAGAGGGCAGAGTGGCAGGAGGGGTGGGCCTGGGTGGACCACAGGCAGGTGAGGGCCGGAGCAGCCAGGCTGGATCCCATGGTGGAAGGGAAGGTTGGTGGTTCTGGCTGAGAGCTAGAAGAAGCTGCGTTCATTCGTGTGTGTTTGTGTGTGTGTGTGTGTGTGTACGTGTGCTGAGTAGAAGAAGCTGCGTTCATTCGTGTGTGTTTGTGTGTGTGCATGCGCGCGCGCGTGTGTGTGTGTGTGTGTGTACGTGTGCTGAGTGTTGGCCCTGCTGGTTCTTGAGCTAGCTATAGTCTGCATCAGGAGGGAGGAGACCCTCTCTCCAGCCATCAGAGTGAGGCCAACGTCCAAGAAGAAAGGAGGAGGAAAGCCGGGCCTCGTGGTTCAGTGGTTGAGCGTTGACCTATGAACCAGGAGGTCATGGTTCGATTCCTGGTCAGGGCATATGCCGGGGTTTCGGGCTCCATCCCCAGAAGGGTGCATGCAGGAGGCAGCCGCTCAATGATTCTCAGTCATCATTGATGTTTCGATCTCTCTCTCCCTCTCCCTTCCTCTCTGAAATCAATAAAAAATATATTTAAAAAAACCAAAGAAAGGAGGAGGAAGGCAGATGGAGGAGCAGAGGGCGAGTCGGCAGGTTGAGGTTAAGGGGTCACAGGAGCCTCTCCCAGCCAGAGGTGCACACAGCCTCCTTATCGCGCTTCCTGGAGGACAGGCTGCGGGGCAGGCAGGCGTTGTGTCAGGGTGGACAGGGCCCGGGGCACCTGGCCTGGCTTCTCTTAGTCTGGGCCTGTCTGGCTGAGAGGAGCCGGGACAGGGTGGTGGCTGGGCTTAGGACAAGGGTGTGCTCTGGGCAGAGGGCTGGGCTCTGCAGGGTGGGCTTCTCTCATGAAGGAGGTTGGGGTTGGAGCTGTGACCCCCTTTGGCAGGACGTGGGCTGGAAAGAAGTGCAGACGCGTTCTCTCGAGTTGGCAGGGGGTGTTCCTTGGTCGTTTAAGGGGGACCAGGTGTTGGGCTGACTCAGCAGCTTCAGGCTGGGGCTCTGGAGAAGCAAACAGTTGCAAAGTTGGGGCTTGGATGGTTCATCCTGATCTTTTGAGGCTCCTCGTACTGTTATCCTTGCCTTCCCTCCCGTCCCAGGACATAACTAGGGCACGTCCAGGACGCCAGAGTCCCTCGTCCGGGGCCTCCCCCGGGCTCTGCCCAGCTGGCTGTTGCGTAACCGCCGTCCCGAAGCCTTATCCTACTGCAAACATTCTGCCTGGTGATCAGACTGTGCACTCGCACTCCCTGGTCACTGGAAGGGCCAGATGGAAAGTGGGGGGTGTGCGAGAGCAGGGAACCTGTCGCAATCATGTTGTCATGGTGACACAACTCTGTTTAGCCGTCTCCCCGTGGTCCTAGCCCACAGGGACTAAAATAAGTTTCACCTGCAGCTCACAAAGCAGGCAGCCCCTTCCTCCCAAGGTCAGCTGTCTGGCTGGAGTGTGTGTATGTGTGTGTGTATGTGTGTATGCGTGCGTGTGTGTGTGTGTGTGTGTGTGTGTGTGTGTGGTGTGTTGAGGGACAGAGGGGCCACAGAGAGGATGAATAGAAAATGTTCACCCCTCTCCCCTTCTTCTCCCACCCAGCCCCAGTCCTGTACCTCATTAGCCCCGTGACTCTCAGCCTTCAGCGTGCGTCAGAACCACCTGGAGAGACGGTTAAATGCACATTCCTGGGCCCCGTCACCCGAGAGTCTGGGGTGCACCTGAGAATTTGCATTTCTCGCAAGTTCCTGCTGCTGGAGCAGGGACCACGCGTGGAGCAGCCCTGCTCTGGGTTTTACTCCATCCCAGCTGGGAAATGCACCCGATTCTGGTTTGCTCAGTGTGTGTTGGACTGTGTGCCCAAGCCCAGCGCTTTGGAGGAGAGAGTGGACGGTGCGGGCAGGCCCTCACTCACCTCTTCTGTGTTCTGTGGCCTCCTCACAGGAAGCAGGAGCTGGCCAACAGCTCGGATGTGCCCCTGCCGGACCGGTCGCTGTCCCCTCCTCTCACGGCACCTCCCACCATGAAGGTAAGAGACTTAGAGCTGGTAAGTGAGGAGGGTTGCAGCTCAAGGCTCTGCTTTGTTTCGGCACCGGCCCAGCTGCGCCTGCCCAGTGAGGGCATGGGGTGCCCAGCCTCCTCTGGAAGCAGCGTTCACCTGAGCTCAGCAGCGCGGGAGGGAAGTGTGACTGAGACCCAGGGGTGTTAGGGTGAGGAAATAGACTGGGCTGATGGGGTTGGCAGGATGCTTGGTAATTAGTGAGAGGCCTTGTGGAGCTGTGGGGTTCCGGAACAAGGGCCCCAGGCAAGAGGAAGCGGGAGCGGTTTAGCATGTAGCTGCAGGCTAGTGCCTTAAGGGGCCACTGCCCAGAAGGGCGGCCAGGGCCTGGGGATGGGAAAGGAGGGTCCCATGGGCTGGGACCCTCCTGGTTCTTTTTAAGACATTTTTAGATATGGGTTTTAAATTGATTTCAGAGAGGAAGGGAGACAAAGAGAGAGATAGAAACATCAATGATGAGAATCATTGATCGGCTGCCTCCTGCCCGCAACCTGTGACCTGTTGGTTCATGGGTCAGTGCTCAACCATTGAGCCACACACTGGTCAGGCATCTCCTGGTTCTTGAATGGAACTTGTACGCAGGTCTACCTGCCTCCCACTGGCCTTCTTAGGCTGGCCCCGTCACCCCAGTGCCTGCAGGAGAGTTGCCTTAGAGGTTCTGGGTAATTCTTCTCCTGTTACCATTTTATTCACAAGTCTCTCTCCTGGGAAACCACATCCCAGGTCCCCATGCCCAGGCCCATCTCATTCCTGGAAAGGAGCTGAGGGGCCATTTCCCTCCCCCCACTATGCCCCTCCCCCTTTACCCTACTCCCCCTTGGTGGCATGGCCACACACCCCTGATGTGGCCTTCAGGGAGGACTTTGGCTCAGGCAGTATCCCTGCCCAGGCAGCAATGCACCTCCCTCCCTTTTTTTCTCCCTCCCTTGCATTTTGCCAGGTGAGGGCTGGCTTTGAAGAAGTCACCCACCGCCTGAATCAGCTGAGGGGACATGGAGGCCAGCCTCCGTCTCTGTCCTGGAGCTCTGCTGTGAGGTGACTCACAGGGGAACTAGTTAGGGCTCTCTTCTTCCCTGTTCTGGAACTTGTAGTCTAGCTAGGGAGACAAGAGTTGAAAAAATAATTTTAAGACTGAGGGATGGACAGTTCGGTGTGATGATAATTAGGGCTGCTCTCTGTTGCACCCCCTCTTCCCTGAACTAATCTGTTGCAAAGTGATACCCCCAAAGAAAGCAGATAAAAAACCCACCTTTCCATTATCATCTCATATTGAATGCTCACCATGCACAGAGCTGTGTGGTATGCACTGAGGGGCAATATCACTGGATGGCAGCCAGCGCCTGCCCTGGTTGGACTAGGATTCAGAAGTGGGTGGGGTATAGGGCTGACTGAGGACCTCTCTGCTCTCCTCCTTGTGGGGTGCCCTGGGAGCACTGACAGCCAGACCACCTTCATCAGCCTAGTCAATGCTGTATCTGAGCCACGGGCTGGGTGGCTTGTTTGCACGGCTGATTGCTGAGAAGCCTATGGCCATTGTGAGGTCCAGCACGTTGGTCTGCAAGATGGGGTGTGGGGTGCTTGACTGTGCTCATGGATGGCGGGAGTGTGCAGGGAGAACTCTGAAAGTTTCCTAGGAGGAGTCACTGAGTCCTCTTGGCAGTCTTCAATTGCTCCCATACTCATGTAATTCATTCAACACCCAACATTTATTTGAACGTCGTATTAGTCAGGACTCTTGGTTTCAAGTGACAGAAACATAACTCACTTTGGCTTAAGAATAAATGGGAATTTATTGCCTTCTTAATGGCAAGTATAGACTCCAGGCACGGCTGCATCCATGACATCTGTCACTTTCTACCTCTTTCCTGTATTGGTTTCATTTTTTTGTTAAACTCTGTCTCTGTGATGACAGGAATGTGACAGCTGCTCCTACTTGCTAAGCGAAGAGTCTCTTTTCCCCAGTAGTTCTAACAAAAGGCCCAGGGAGGAAGCTCATTGGCCTGGCTTAGGTCACATGTCTATCTCTGAACCAATCATTGCAACCAGAGAGATGGAAGGCTCTGACTGGCTAGACTTGGTCTCATCTCCACCATCTAAACCCTAAGAACCAAGAGTGGGAGAGGGGTGGCTTCTCAAAGGAAAATTTAGGTGTTACTCTGAGAAGAATGCTGACCACGTGACATTGTGGTCCCTGTTCTGGAACTTGTAGTCTAGCTAGGGAGACAAGAGTTGAAAAAATAATTTTAAGAATGAGGGATGGACAGTTAGATGTGAATATTCCAAAGGAGAAGTACAGCATAATGGGGGAACAATATAACGTCTGTGGAGGGGGAATCTAACCTAATCTTGGAGAGTGTCAGGGAGGGCTTCTTTGAGGAAATGATGTTTAAGCTGAACCCTGAGAGTTGAGCAGGAGTCAACTGAGGGTGGAGGAGGGTGTTCTAGACACTTACTACTCGAAGTGAGGCCAGGAGACCACAAACACCTGCATTATCTGGGAGCTCCGTAGAAGTGCAGGATCTCAGGCCTCCCTCCAGACCACTGAATCAGAATCTGCATGTTAGCACCATCCCCATTCACATGTACTTTCCACTCAAGAAGCACTGCTGCGGCCTCTGAAATGCTCTGGGGCAGGAGAGCCATGACTTCTCCAACCAGGAGACCAGCATGGCCAGAGCATCCACCGTTAGGGACGGAGAGTCAGACCCTTGGAAGTTCTGCTGAAGATATTGGGCTTCATCCTGCCGAAGGGCAATGAAATCATTGAAGGTTTTAGTCAGAGGCGTAGATGATGGGACAAATCACCGCGGTTGTTGTGTGGAGAGCGGGTGGGAAGGAGCAGAGTGGAAAGTGAGAGATGAGTCGGGAGGCTTCTGCAGAAGTCCAGTGAGGAGAGGAAGTTAGCCTGACTCTGAAGGCCCTGTGAGGTTATTTGGAAACAAGTCAGGTCTCAGATTTCCTAGGAGGTAGACTGATGAGCTAGGAGGATCTGGGAGAGGTGGGATCAACTGGATACATGGTACAGCCCTTCTCTGAGATGGCGTGACCCGGAAGGGAGGGCGAGGGCTTGACTTCTAAGTGCTGAGTTGGACATGCTTGAGACACGAATGGGGATGCCAGTGGCAGCTGGGTCCTTTTATGTAATGATGTTTACTTTGAATTTATATTAGTTCACACAAACACTCCATCCATGCTTTTGTTCCGGCCCTCCGGTCCAGTTTAAGAACCCATTGTGGCCCTCGAGTCAAAAAGTTTGCCCACCCCTGAGCTAGGAGGATCTGGGAGAGGTGGGATCAATGGGATACATGGTACAGCCCTTCTCTGAGATGGAGTGACCCGGAAGGGAGGGCGAGGGCTTGACTTCTAAGTGCTGAGTTGGACATGCTTGAGACACGAATGGGGATGCCAGTGAGCAGCTGGGTATTTGGGGGCCAGGTTTAGAAGGAGGGTCTGGACTGGAGGTAAAAATCTGGTCATTTTCATAGAGATGGGATTGAAGCTTGGGGTGTAGGGGTGGTGGGGTGGTGAACTCTCCAGGGAGAGGATGGAGTAAGAAGATTCCTGGGATAGCACCTTGAGGGACTCAGGGCTGGTGTGGAGGAGGCTGGACACATGGTGGGAGGAGCATTCACAAAGGAGGGGCGGGCGGCGGCTGTGTCAGCTGCTCGGAGAGGCCAAGTACAATGTGCAGTGCACAGTGGCCTTTGGGCTTAGTGCCCAGGTTGCTGCTGCTGATGTAACTGAGAACAGTTGTGGGGAGGGAGGAGGAGTGGACACCAGACTGGGTGTGTGAGGAGCGAGTGGAGATGGTGCGGGACTCAGAGGGTGTAGACAACGCTTGTGAGACGGGAGACCTGACTGTGGAAATGCTGAAGGAGGGAGCAGGGTGTACGGAGATACAGGAGAGAGGGGGACTGATGGAGAATTTGGAGCACAGGGAAGAAATTATTAGTTAACATTGATTCATTAAAAAATTATATGAACATCCGTTGGGAGCTGGACCCTACTTTGCTCCGGCCAGCACAGGGTCTGGCCAGCTGTCAGGGGGTGAGGCTGGCCTGTGTGAGACCCCAGGCAGCCTCAGAACAGAGCAGCCACCTGCAGGGAAATCTGAGTGACCCACTGTCAGAAGGCAGCCCTAACCCCGGGCGCTCTGTCCTTCTCTTTGAACTCAGCTCAGGAATTTCCCAGCCTGTGACTTGACTGTCCAAAGCCCCAAGACTAAGGTCAAAGCTGGGAACGCAGAAAGATTCGAGGGGCTGCCCTGGGGACTCACACTCAGGACACTTCTGTGGTTGGCATTGGGAGGTCAGTGTGTGGTATACCTGGACTTAGGGGTCTCTTTGTGATTGTCATTTGGGCTTATTCTGTATCTAAGCTGTAATTAGACGCCTGTTCAATATGTTTTTATTGATTTTAGAGAGAAAGAAAGGGAGAGCAAGAGAGAGTGAGAGCATGAGATAGATAATAAATAGATAGAGAAACATTGATGTGTGAGAGAAGCATTGATTAGTTGCCTCCAACGCTTGCCCCGACCAGGGATCGAACCTGCAACCTAGGTATGTGCTCTGACCGGGAATTAAGCCCCAAACCTTTTGGTGTACAGGATGACATGCCAGCTGAGCCACACTGGTCAGGGCAGGACATTTTTCTCTTTGTGCAAAGCTAACTGATCCACGTGGGACTTAAAACCACCACCCTCATTTCCCTCACCAGCCTGCTCACCACCGAGGGAGTGTCCTTTGTGTGACTGCACTTGTCTGTTGCTGGTCGTGCGAAGCTTCTCTCCATTGAGTTCCTTGAGGCAGCAACTGTCCTGCTCTGCGGCCCCCCCCTCCTGGCCGGGAGGCTGGGTGGCAGCATGACATGCCAGCTGAGCCACACTGGTCAGGGCAGGACATTTTTCTCTTTGTGCAAAGCTAACTGATCCACGTGGGACTTAAAACCATCACCCTCATTTACCTCACCAG